AACCCTAAACCCTAAACCCTAAACCCTAAACCCTAAACCCTAAACCCTAAACCCTACCGTCATGGCCTCCATCAAACCCTGAACCTCGCTGGGAGTTGCTGCTGCCAAGGGTTTCTGCTCCCTCAAAAACCCTCCCTCTAACATCATGCGGCGCTCCTCGGGGGTTTGGGTGGCTCGGTAGGCCCGCAGAGCCATGTCTCGCCTGCGCCAAACCCTAAACCCTAAACCCTAAACCCTAAACCCTAAGCCCTGGGGTTTACCGCCACCTCTGCAGAGCGCTGCGGCAGCAGCAGAACTGCAGCCCCGCCAAGCGGCGCATAAACCCTGAAAGAGGCAGCAGCGGCTGAAACTCCTTGAGAGCCTGGGGTTTAGTGTTTAGGGTTTAGGGTTTAGGGTTTACCGAACGTGCGCAGTAAGCAGCGCAGGGTTTCTGTCCCCCCCAGGCTGAATGGGCAGCGGCGGAGGCTCTGTAGCGCGAACTGTAATAGTTGGCTGTTCGCCGGCGGCCTCTGAAAACCCCAAACCCTAAACCCTAAACCCTAAACCCTAAACCCTAAACCCTACATCCTAAAGCCTACACACTGAACCATGGGAGGCCTGAGTCTCGCGGCAGGGAGCAGCGAAGTCGCCCTCAGAGGCTGCAGGAGCTAGACGCAGCGAACACGGGTCAAGGGTTTAGGGTTTAGGGTTTAGGGTTTAGGGTTTACGGGACTGCAGCGCCAGCAGCTCCGCCGCCCGGCTGGACGAGCCCTCGGCGAAGGCCTCGAAAACCTTTTGAGGCTGATCATCTTTGAAGAGCAACATGGTTGTCTCAAAACCCTAAATACAAACCCTAAACCCTAAACCCTAAACCCTGGGGCGCGGTTTACGCCCGGCGAGTTCGCATCAGCCTGCTGCTGCTCTTGCTGCTGCTGCTGCTGCTCCTGCAGCTGCTGCTGCTGCTGTTGAGCCGATTAACGAAGCAATGAGCCATTTGACAAAAATTAATCCAAGCAGAAATGAGCTGCTGAGGCTGCTGCTGCTGGACAAGGGGGCTCACCAGCAGCAGCAGCAGCAGCAGCAGCAGCAGCAGCGGCGGGGGGGCGGGCGGGCCAGGGG